GCCGCGGCCACAGAGCTCAGCCCTGCGCCCCGGCCGGGCGCCCCACGTCTCATCCTGTCTTAAGAGGTCCCCTCTGGGGAAGCCCCTTCACTGCAGGGGGTGACGACCCTGAGACTGTGAGGTGTCCGCCTTGGGTGGGGGGGTCTGGGTGAGACACTGCTGCTGGGCAGCAGGGTCTGGGTACTGGTATGGAGTGGGGGAAGCATCCCTGGCTGAGCCTCAGGCCCCGTGCCCGCACCCTACATGCCTGAGTCCCCTGAGCTGGAAGGGGAAGGTCCCCACACAGGGTCTCTTCCTCCACAACGCTGATGGCTAACCCTTCTTGTGTAAAAAAGCAGGATCCCAGCGTCCTCATCCCCCCTGAGCTCAGCACCTCTTCCCCTTCCCTTAGAGCCAACGAACATGCTGGACGTGAGGGCCATTTTGTGGCTGGAGACCTACCTGCAGGTACGGGATGGCAGGAGGCCCTGAGATGGAGTGAGGGAGAGGGGTGGAAACATCCTGCAGGCTGGTGTCTCGCCTAACTGGGTGGTGGGACCAAACCCTGTGCTCTGGCTTGATAAGGCTCATGCCTCCCTCTTGCTGTCTCCTCCAGACCTGGCAGTCAACCATCCTCGTGGTGTCCCACGACAGGAACTTCCTGAACGCGGTGGCCACAGACATCATTCACCTGCACTCACAGCGGTTGGACACGTACCGTGGGGACTTTGAGAACTTCATGAAGATTAAGGAGGAGCGGCTGAAGAACCAGCAGCGAGAGTATGAGGCCCAGCAGCAGTACCGTGAGCACATCCAGGTACTGGAAGAAGCCAGTAGTGCTGGGGCATCCTTTCCCAGCTTTGACCCTTTCTCCATGCTTCTAGACCCGGGGATGTGGCTGTATTGTGTCAGGAGGTTTGGCAGCAGAGCAGGGTGGCTGGGGCTGAAAGGGACCTAGGGCTCTCTCTGATGCTTTTATCTCTTGTAGGTTTTCATCGACCGCTTTCGCTACAATGCCAACCGGGCCTCTCAAGTGCAGAGCAAGCTCAAGCTGTTGGAGAAGCTGTGAGTGCCTATGCTGCTCCTCTCTGGAGGTGGGGAAGGGACAGTGCTCTCAGGAAGAAACAAAGGTCCCCAGGGTGCCTGGGAGACCAGGGGGTGGTTTGGGCTTTGGGTGCTCTGCCTCTGGAAGCTTTGGCTAAGATGAGATACCACAGAGATGAAGACTATCTGGCCTTCTGCTGTGAGAAAAGACACCCAGTGCAAGGCACCTTGGTTATGCATCTCCTCTTCTTGCAGGCCAGAGCTGAAACCTGTGGACAAGGAGTCTGAAGTGATCATGAAGTAAGTGTCCCCTGAGCCCTTGCTTGGAGGCTGCCTGGCTCTATTTCTGACATGAGCTCCTGGGTCCTGTCTCGGCTGGAACAACCACCCCTTCCCCGCGGGCCAGCCTTAGTCTGACAGGGAGCCCAGACAGGCCCCCGTGTTCAGGCTGGGTTCCCTCCTGGGGCCAAAGCTGCAAATCCTTCTTGTGACCATCCTTCCCAGAGGCTCTGCATGGTAGGGAGCCCCCCTTGCCCAACCATACAGAGGTTGTCCTGGAGGGCTGGGAGTAGGATCTTTGAACTTTCTGGCCTTCTCTCACCTCTTCCTGCCTTCCCAGGTTCCCCGATGGTTTTGAGAAGTTCTCCCCCCCAATCCTGCAGCTAGACGAAGTAGACTTCTATTATGACCCAAGTCACTACATCTTTCGTTCCCTCTCCGTCTCTGCTGACCTGGAGTCCCGCATCTGTGTGGTATGTGGGATTGCAGAATAACGGTGGCTACGAGGGACCTTGGGAGGTCCCTTCTCAAAGCAGGGCCAGCTGTGCTGTTAGGTCAGGTCAGTCAGGTCCTTGTCCAGTTGAATTCTGGACATCTGCAGGGAGGACTATTTGTCCCATTTCCCCAGGTCCCATTGCAGCATTTGATCATCCTCATTTTGAGGAAGGTTGAAGCATTTTTCCTAATTACAATTAGAATTTGTGACTTGTGCCTGTTGCCCTTCATCCTCTCACCGGGCACCTCTGAGAAGCAACTGGGTTTATCCTCTCTGTAACTCTGTTAGCTGACAACAGCAGCATGTAGTGGGGGCTCCTGCTGCACTGGACGGGGCAGCAGAGAGATGCTGTGTGCTTGCAAACTAGGCTGGGACCAGGCCATCCTTGGGCTCAAGGGTTGGGGAGGGAACACCTTCTAGCACTGCTGCTCATGCTGCTCGTTGGTGATAGAAACAGAGCTTCCAGGTAGCTGGAGTCATTGGTTAGACCCTCATCCTGCCCCCCTCATCTAACAGAGCTGAAATTCCCTGATCACTCCCCTCCTCTCTGAGGTACCTGCATGGGTTTCACGTTCTCCAATGCTGCTGCTGCTTCTCTAGGTTGGGGAAAACGGAGCTGGCAAGTCAACCATGCTAAAGATCTTAATGGGGGAGCTGGCACCAGTCAGAGGGATCAGACATGCTCACAGGTACCTGGTAGGAAGCCTGGGGGACTGGGAGGAGTGGTGCAGCTGGAGGGCTTCTGGGCTGTGCTTTGGAGTGATGGCTACCCAGGTGATGGGGATGGGTCCCGCACAGCCACACATATGCCCTCTTCTGTAGCTGCGGCGTTGAGCGCCATGGCTGGAGGGCCTGGTGCCAGCTCCCCATCTCTGTTCTCATCACAGAAACCTAAAGATCGGCTATTTCAGCCAGCACCACGTGGATCAACTGGACTTGAACATCAGTGCTGTAGAGTTACTGGCAAGAAAGTTCCCAGGTGAGTTTTGGGGATCCCAGGGCTGTTGAGGGCCCCTTTGCCACACATGGAGCAGTGCCGATTTGCTCCATGGCCCTGGGCAGAAGACTCTGTCGTGTCAGAGCTGTAGAGACACCTCCTGCTCTGGGTGAACTCCCCATGTCCAGCCAAGTTAGGACACCAGCCATGAGAGCTGGCAGTCTGCAGACCTCAGGCTGGTGCTCCACCACAGCTGGGTTTTGGGGGCAGATGACCCGCTTTCCTGCTGGGCACAGAACGATCACTTTCCCAGCTGCCCGCACCCCTGGCTCCCTTCTCCGTGGCTTGATGTCTTGTAACACAGTGACGGGGAACTGGTGGCAGCGTCACTTGGAGTCAGTCACCAGCCCTGTGGCCCTGGTTGTGTCAGCTTCTCCCTGCAAAAACCCCTGCTTGGGGAGGGAGCTGCCTGGAAGCG